GACGGGGCTTGGAGCGACCTGGGCTGGGGGGAGGTGTCCCTGCCCAGGGCAGGGGGGTGGAATGAGGTGGTTTTTAAGGTTCCTTCCAACCCAACCCATCCTGTGATTCTTCAGGTGTTGTAAATCCAAAATTATCTCAGATAAACGGAATAATTTAACAGCGGGGTAAGGATCAGGCCCCCAAACCGTTCAGTTTTCTCAGTTCTGATGTGCAGCTCGGTTTGTTGAAGTCAGCATCCACAGAAAAGCTGGTGCCCAAAATACTCCGTGTTGTCGCTGCAGGTTTATTTTAACTTGCGGTTATTTAACCTGCAGAATATTTTTGTTGTAATTCCTAACAACCACACTCCAAGGGGAAACTGCTGATGGTACTCGAAGGGCTGACAGAAGGGCAAAATGTTGCTGATTCTCCTGAATAACAGCGTTAGCTCGGGATGTGTCCCGGGTCCCCTCTTCCCTTTAAAGGTAGCTTTGTTTTGGCTGGTTTTATTTTCCACACCAGCCCACCAAAGCCTGTTCAACCATTGCAACGACGATCCAGAAGAGGGATATTTCAGTGCAGCTGCGAAAATGCCGTTTTCCTCAGCGAGTTGGTGGCGAATGGGAATCTTTTCAGCTCCGGCTGCAGCGGGGTGCTGGTGTGAAATTCTGCAAGCAATTCATAAATATGCTGTTGTTTCTTCGTTCAACCCTGTGCTTTCGTGGAGGTGCCGGTGTCCTCGGTGCCTCGCTGGGGAGGAGAAATGCATCTCCTTTAATCTGGCTGAAGCAGCCTGCCACAACACAACGCAATGGCTGTTTCAGAAATACGCATTAAAAACAATCTCGGAGGTTTCTCAGGGCCGGACTCCCCCGCGGTGCTTATCTGAAACACTGGAAATGGCTGCAAGCAACATTTGAAGAAGTAAACAACATCACTGTTTCTCCCAAGGACCCCCTTGATGTCTGCTTCTCAGATCACGTGTGTTACGGGCTCTGGTTCCTCTTAGAGATTTCATCAGGAGCTGAACACCGGCAGATCCCCGGCAGGAGCGCCGCAGACGGCGTGGCACGGCGCAGCCGCCGGGGCTTTGGACATTCACGTTGTCCTCGGTGTTGGCGTCACGTGCCAGTTTAGCCACTTCTCAAATCAACTGGTCCATCAAACTTAACACGTTTGGAGGAAGATGTGGTACTTTAAATGAGTGCCAGGACGGGGCCAAGCGTGGGAAGGGCGGCACCTCATCCCGCCCCACCGGTCAGTGTTCGTTAGGTCAGGGCAGGAGCAGCCCATGCCCTGTGTCTCCACCCAGGCTGGGAGGAGATGCTGGTTTGAGTAGATCAAAGAAGAGGCAGGGGAAGCGTCAGGGGGGAGGAAACAAGGCACGGCAGGGG